CCGGGGCTGTCCGCCCCCGAGTGCTGCCCCGCGGACCTCGGCTCCGTGGGACGCTCGCCTCCGGGGCAGGACCGGCGCCTCCTACCAGCCGCCGTTTGCGTGCTGGCTGGCCCAGGGCGAGGCGTCAGTCAGAAGGAGCTGTCTCTCTATCATTCCTTCCTCGGGCCACTTTCTTTCTCTGCGGGGTAGGAAATCCTCTTCTGGACTGGAAATTGCAGCAGAATCTCTGATAACGTTCTGCCGTCTAAGACCTGCAACTGTTCCCTTTCCTGCCCTCCGCGTGCCTCAGGATGACATGCCTGCCCACTTGCCGTCCAGCGTCTGAACTCTGGTGGGTACCCCCTTGGCAGGGCCACTGGGCTGAGAGACAGAAGCAGTTCCACAGGGTCTCTGGGCACTGTGCTATCTGAGCCTTGAGTCTGGAGGTCGGGGATGAGCTACACCTGGTCATGGTTTTCTCCAAGCATGGTGGCCTGGGCACAGGTTTTCATCTGTGACCTTAGTATGGAAACAGATGTGCTGTGGGACTCCTGGACTACCACTCTCTGGGCTGACATTAAAGGCCAAAGGTTGTCTAAGGACTGCCTGGGCTGTGGGGAGGCAGAGGTTGACTCTTAGATTAGTAATGTATTGGGAGGCACAGGCCTTGTGGCTGATGTGGCTGTGGTTGTGATGCTGGTGTTGTAGTCTTTCCCAGCAGCTTATTCCAAGTCATTAGTTTGTCTGCCTTTCCAGGGCCAATAGTAGCGCTCGAAGGTGGTTTTCCTTATTTCTCTGTATGTTTGCTTCTTGAGACTCAGCAAGGACTTCCAGGCAATTGCATTTTATTTTATTTTTTTAAATATGTTTTTATTGATTTCAGAGAGAGGAAGGGAGAGGGAGAGAGAAATAGAAACATCAGTGATGAGAGAGAGTTATTGATTGGCTGCCTCCTGCATGCCCCTCCCCATTGGGGATTGAGCCGGCAACCCCCGGCATGTGCCCTGACCGGGAATCAAACCATGACCTCCAGGTTCATAGATTAGTGCTCAACCACTGAGCCACGCTGGCTGGGCCAGGCAATTGCATTTTTAAAAAACCATCTCATTATTTGACAGATTTTTCCTCCACTTGAGGGTGAGGCCTCCATCTTCATATTCTATCCCCATCACTTAGAAGGCTCTTGTAAATGTTTGCTTAATTGTCTTAAGGACAAGTATGCAGGTTCTTTTCATTTTAAGACATATAGGCTGGGCGAAACAAACCCAGATAAGAAAAGATAAAGAAATCTCTCAAAGGTGTTACAATTTATAAAGGTTAACAGCCAGTGGAATGACCCCACTGCGCTTCCTTTTATTCTGAAAATTGGGTCCTCATCTAATCTTCTCACCCTCAGATAAAGCCTCTAAGTGAAGTGCTTATGGGATAGTGAGTGCCCTGTTTAGAAGCTTGTCTCTCCCTGTGAACAGGGCTGGAGGCACGTTGCATTCATCTTTGCTCCCCCATTGCCTGTCATGGAATGGGCAGGGGTTATCTCTTGAAGTGAACCAAGGTGCTAAATAAAACTAGTGTGGTGGTTTTCACCTGGTAGTAAGGGTGACCTTCGGGGAAGGGGGTGGGGGATGTAGAAGTAATCTAGTAATCTAAGCAGGCTTTTCATAACAATAATAAAATTCACCCCCTGGATCTGTAAGTTCGCCAGCAGGTGAGCCTCACCAGCTCTTGCTGACCACTCCTGCCAGGACTGTCCAGAAGGCCAAGTGACCTTGGGCATGCATTGTTGCTTCTAATTTTCGTTACAGTCTAAGCCAACCTCAGATGACATATTTAAGTGTTTGCTTTTAGATGGTTTCTGGTTTAAAGTACATAAAGACAGTGAAGCAGGTTATAAAAAAAGCACTTAACATTTACCCTGTTGAATGTTTTACCTGTTTGAGCATACCTATTCTGTTATGACAACTCTGTACATAAAAGAAAGAAGCCCTTTTTAACTTGAAGCAGCAATTTCAGTGACTGTTTCAAGTGTCACTTTCCAGATGGAGATAATATCAAGGAAACAAAACCTCAGGCTTCTTACTAAGAATCAATTTCAATTCATTATTTGATGGTTTTTAAAAATTCTTTCCACACAAGTTTATTGAAATCATAATTTACATGAGGAGGGCCTGTACCCCGTGTTCTGTGGCTACAAAGTTGAATGAGTCTCTGCCCTTAAGGAGCTCACAGTGGAGTCAGGAAACGGACCAGTGAACTGTGGCACTGTGGGAGGTGCTCCCATAGAGGAGGACAGAGCTTGCTTTGGGCATAGAGTGGCATTCAGCTGGCCTTTGGTAGGGACTCCTGAGAAAGGCTTGAGCTAAATTTTGAAGAATGAATAGGAGTGGCAAGACCATATGAGGGAAAGAGCCTTCTGGGCAGAGACTGTGTGTGTAAGGTAATAAGGGCATGACCCACCCACCAGCTGTTAAGGGCAGTGAGTAGCTCTGGTAGTTGGGGTAAAGAGAGGGAGATGAAATTAAAGAGCTATGCTGGCAGCAGATTGGGAAAGGCCTTGAGGACCAGGCCCCAGTTTGAATTTTACCCTGAGAGCGGTGGGAAGTCACCCAGGAATCTTGGGTCTGTGAGTGACTGATCAAATTGTGTTCTCCACTGGTAACCTGGCACTGGTTGCTGGGGTGGATTGGTGAAGGGTTGTACCGAGTCTGGGGTGGTTAAAGGACCACCATGGCACATTTAGAGAGATGTAAGTCCCAGCAACAATGAAGGACAGTGGGTTTCAGAAAGGAGAGCAGGGGAAAATGGGGGACATCTGTAACACTCTCAACAATAAAAATTTAAAAAGAAAAAACAAAAGGAGAGCAAAACCATGAGGCAAGTGGCTGCAGGGAGAGAGGAAGGGCCAGGGAGAAAGGAGGACCTAGGGAACAGCCCAAGATGGGGTGACTGGCAGCTGGTTCCATGCCACACACAGTGCAGGGAGGGAGCAGACTTGGGAGCAGGTGATGACTTTCAGTTTGGGGATGTTGAGGTGAGGATCGGTAAGACTTCCCAGCAGTAGGTGGATATATGTAGGTGTGGAGCCAAGGACAGTATACTGGGTTTGAGAGCATTTGGGGGATTCCTTCCTGTGTAACAGCAAAGCCAGAGAGTAGTGGGGTGGGCCTTCCCAGGAGAGTGTATGGAGTAAGAAAAAGAAGACCGAACCCTGGAGGCACCTAATGTTTTATGTTTTATCTACAGAGTAGATAAACTAACAGAATTTTCATTAATAACCCCTTGCCTTTTTGGGTTGTTGGGGCAGGATAGTGGACTTTTTATTTCCCTGACGACAAAGGCCCAGTTTGTTGGTGAGAGTAAATGGCAAGATGCAAGATACTCAAGGCGCAAAAATCACACAGTCGATTCCAGGGGCCTTCCTGTCTCACATGTTTATTTGCCAAATTTTGAGACACTTCCAGATTGTCACTCATCTCAAAGGACCACTTTTCCCTCCAGACTGAGGATGGGTGCTCCCAGAGCATTCTCACAATTCGATCTCTGAAAAAAGTTCTCCTCGGACCCAAAGATAGGTCCAAGGTTGCAGAATTTTGGGGGTTCCCTTGCTCTCCAGTTTCTGTGTGGTACCTCAGCATTAGCAGCAGGAAAGACTCTGTCGAGGATACAGAAGCCAAGTGTGTGGTGGATCCTCCTTAGGCTATCTCCCACACTGAGGGGCAAGGGGAGAGGGTGAGGAAAGGCTGATATTCGAAAGGAGCCCCTGTCTGCCCACAGGATTGTCCTAGCCCCTGGATAAATGCACAGGCCATTAGGAGTTATTTTTGTCTCTGGTACCTGCTTACTTAGAAGATGTGAGATAAGATCTTATTCTTTTCTGTATATGTCTCCGGGGCCTGGTTGGGTACTGCACAAGGATATGCTGGCAGGAGTTACATGTGAGCAGTCAGGTTTCTCCTTCCATCCTAGGCATGCTCTCCTCTTTTACAGGTGATTGAGAACACACTACAGGTAGTTTCCTCTGTTTCTCATAATCTGAAACTGTGTGCCTAATTGTTACACAATTTTAATGGAGTACCACACACATTGAGGGTTGTTACAAATAAAAGCCCCTCCCTGAGTAGTGTTCTAAATGTAAGTCATTACCGGCAATCCCACCAAAAGCTCCCCTCACCTCTGTCCCTTCAACATTTCCTTGAATCATTTTGCTCTTGTTCCCTAATTCTCCTCTAATTCCTTTTCTGGGAAGGGTGGTTCTAGCTTTCATATCTTGATAAGCCTGTGGGTCCTAGAAGGATCTGGGAGTATACATTAACAACTCTTGCCTCTGGCATGTTTTCCTGCCTTCCTGGGCTGAACCTTCTCCACCTCCTAGGACACAGGAACACTTGGCTTCCTCAGCAACCCTGTGAACCCCAGGCCTCTGTCTCAGGTCCTTTGGCTTCTTGGAGCCCTT